GAGTAGACGACAGTAAGCCAAGGGAAAAACGCATAAATCTTCTGATCAACTCTAAAAGACATGAAAAATATGTTGTAGCTTGTGCATCGCATATCTTTATTATGTTATCATATGTTAGGTGATATTTGAAAATTTATGTGTTACAACTTGTGAAAAATGTCTTAAAAGATCTGAACTGTTAAATCAACAATTCCAGGGTACTATGTACACAGAATTCTAATCTGTTCAAAAAGATTATCACTGCTCGCATCTGGATTTAAAGCGATTTAAAGAGCATCAGATATGGGGCAGAGACAAAGTGCGTTACCTCGGAGCTAAGTAATAATCCTCAGGACGCTTTACATCTGTCATTCGACTGTCTGTTCCTCGTTAAATCAGACGCGAGCGACGACTTTTTCGAGTAGACTCGTTTATTGGAGCACATTAATAACGCATAATCAGATTTTATGAAAAACGTCCGCCAGAGAGAGATTCTTACTCCTCTCTTCAAATATATTTAAAATAGTCATACGATACTTTTAAAAAGCTTATCATAAAATACAATCGTAGTACGGTACAAGCGATGCTTTATTAACAGAAATACGACGAGACATTAACAACGCTTTAGTTGCATTGTTTAAAATAAATAACGCTGCGATTAATTCGCGCGAAATGACATATCGTGAATTTTTCTGAATATAAAAAAATCTTCAGCAGTGGTACAACTTTGGGAAAACTAACCTGACTTTTGTTCGCCGCACAGAGAAATAATCATATTCTGAACCAGGTCAGCGATAGTTTCAGCTTCCGCGGAATTCATGTTCGTGTTGTATGACGCTCGCTATATAATCCCGCTCGATATTATATCACGTAAACAAATAAAATATTTACTCCACCGTTCGACGGCCGTCTTGCGCCGTATTTGCTTCGCAATTTTAAATCAAGCGGCAAATCGGGCAAAAGTAAATACGTATGTACATACGTATGTGTACAACGTGCATCTTCCCATTGTTCTCCTCGAGCGTAGAGAGAAGCTCGAGAGATCCGAAATTTTTGTGGAGTCCGTTTTTATCACGCCATCTTCATTCACGTCAACGTTAGAGAACTTCGTAGTTCATGATTTGTCGGTATACAATCGCCAGTTTTCCAAGCAATATTTACAATTTAATAGATTGAAAATACACCTTGTATGTACACACACAGTTTTAAAAGCATTACCAAGAATAAACACACAAGCAAAAGCATATATCAATATAGGAAAATTTTTTTAAATACGCGGATAACTAAAAAATAGCATTTTTGTCACTGAGTTTCCACTGAGCGCGTCATGCGTCGCGTTATCACACGATAACCAATCAAAACATCCCATTTTATTACATTACTTGTGACGGGATTTAAGATTGGTTAACGATAGACGACGCGACGCGTGACGCACTCAGTGGAAATTCAGCCTTACACATTTAAAGGCTGATTTATAGAGGCCGTAACCGTTGATTTAAGCCGCAATATTTAAGAAATTGACCAATCACAGTCGAATGTGAGAAGAAAAATTGACTGTGATTGGTCAATTTCTTAAAGATTGCGGCTTAAATCAACGATTACGGCCTCTATAAATCAGCCTTTATACTCTTCACAGATTATTTATGATTTCTTTAAAATTTATTATCTAAAAATATATCGCACTTTTCTTATATAAGTTTTTTATAGTTTCTTAAATCATATTATTCTGCTTTTTTTTTAATAAAAAAATAATTAAAAGGATAATTTTTGTATTGTGTTTTTTACATGAAATAAAGTTTAATTAAGGAAGTGAAAAAGCTGTCAAATCATTATGCAGTTTTCTTCAATTATCTGAATTTTGTATATAATCGTTAACAATCGCACGCTAGCCATTTTGTCTCTTGGGAAAAAAAAAAATTATCATATTCTGCGATAAGTGATTTATTCGTGATTACTGTGTACATAAAGTGTATTGCCAAAGGATACAAATAAAACATTAAAATTGTTGCATAATGTTAAGTAAATACAGAGAATAAAGATGTCTTAAATTCATAAGCTGTACTACAATTGACGCGCGTCAACTGACGCCCATGAAATCGCACCTTTACGATAGGACTCTACTCTCCGGCTCTCCGGCCTCCGCTTATAGCTTCTCCGTCTATCTATATATAGTCTAAGGCCGGCTATATAACTTGCAATTATTATAATAATAATTTAGTAGTTTTATCCTTTCTTTTTGGATCTTCTTGTTTCAAGCAATCGAGAAGTGATGTGTTTGCTTTAGTAAAAACGTTTACACGAATAAAACAAAATGGACTTTGTTCCGGTATATCGTTAACCTTACAGTGGAAACCTAACCTAGAAATACATAAAGTAATAATATTTTCATGAGAAAATTTTCTTTGTAGTTTTCTATTGAATGGTAGATTGTAGACGTTTCCAAGCTTACAACTTGTCCTTTAGGTCATATAGCGTGTGAGAAAATATTAGTAGGCACCGCGATGGCGGACGTACGCGATATTTTAGACATTGAAGTGCCGACGACTACGGAACTCACGAAAGAGTCGATATTGGGCAGCGACAAAAAGAGTCGCAAGCGATATGACTACAATAAAATGCCAAAACGCCCTGAGGGCATGCATCGCGAAGTGTTTGCCCTCCTCTGCAAAGACAACAACGACGTGCCGCCGTTATTCCCGACCGACACCGCGAAGGGATATAAGCAGGTGCGAGCCAAGCTTGGTATGAAGAAGGTCAGGCCATGGAAGTGGACACCATTTACCAATCCAGCACGCACAGACGGTGCGATTTTTCATCACTGGCGTCGCGTTGCCGATGCTGGAAAGGAATATCCCTTCGCAAAGTTCAATAAGAAAGTTCCAATTCCTACATACACAAATACCGAATATGTTCAACACTTAGGAGCCAATGGCTGGACACGAGCAGAGACCGATCATCTGTTTGATTTGTGCAGAAGATTTGATCTTAGATTTATTATCATCAGAGACAGATGGGATCGCGCCAAGTTTCCTGCTAGATCTGTAGAAGACTTAAAAGAGAGGCAAGAATGATATATATACATATTTATGTTTTATTGAATTAGATATGCTTTTTGGAATGCGTATGTAATTTTAAATAAATCCACAGGTATTATCAGGTGTGTGCAGCATTGACAAAGGCAAAGTCCCACACTGACAAGGTATATATCTTTGACGCTGAACATGAGAAGCGCAGAAAGGAACAGTTGAAAAAGTTGTTTGAACGCACTCCTGAACAAGTGGAGGAAGAACAGACTCTACTGACTGAATTGCGCAAGATTGAACAGAGGAAGAAAGAGAGAGATAGAAAGACGCAAGATTTACAGAAATTAATTACCCAGGCCGATCAACAAGCAGATCCTAGAAAGAGTGAAAGGAAATCTTCCAAAAAGAGCAGCAGCTCTTCTAGGAATAGACCGAATAAAACTGATACTTCTCATGTATGTCATACAATTATACTCTGTATACAATGGTACGTTTATATCAAGATATTTACATGGTTTTTTTTTAATTTGCAGGCGGTAGAGTCAGCTGGAATTAAATTTCCCGATTTTAAGAATAGCGGCGTTACTCTTCGTTCTCAGAGAATCAAATTACCAAGTAGTCTCGGTCAAAAGAAAATGAAAGGCATTGAGCAAATGCTGAATGAATTGCGTTTAGGTAAAAAGATATAATTCATTTTCATACTGCGCTTGTAAAATTGAATGAGTTACTTACGGAAACTGTTACTTACATTGCAGAATTAAATCCACCACCAACGGAGCAAATATGTCAGCAATTTAACGAACTGCGTAGCGACATAGTTTTGCATTACGAATTGAAAAGTGCGTTATCAACATGTGATTATGAGTTACAATCTTTAAGGCACCAATACGAAGCGCTAGCACCAGGGAAGGTGAATATCAATACGATACTTCTCAAGTAAATATTTTATGTAATATCCGTTTTGAATTTTGTTTGTCTTGTCTTTATCTTTTATTATAGACTTTAACGATACCACCCGCGCTCCTGCCAAAAACAGAACCGGAAGTCAAAGCGGATATTATTGACGTGGTAGGGGGTTCGCCTAGCACGCCCAGTATTACTCATTAATTCAAAATAATCTTTATGTAAAATAGGAATTAATCAAGTAAGTTATGTACATATTGTTTTTTTTTAGTTATCAACGTGCCAATTTTCATATTGAAAGTTATCGAGCACGCATTGCCCGTTATCATTCGTCATCGTATTATATTATGAGGCAATTCTTATTTTATATTAAGGAAATAAATAATTAAAAAAAAAATCAAATGACATCGTATATGTCCCACCTTGTTAATATACGAGCGGCATAATGAAATAACGAAAAGACGTAGCGATGGTAATTACTTATATATCTGTGTATTTTATATTGTCGACAAAAAGTAACAATGTACGGTCAAACCGTATAATTTATCTACAACAATCTACAATAGATTACAATATGTTGTTCTCTGTTTTTTCTTGAGGATATAGGGGGAGGGTACGTGCTCGGGAGGAAAGGGAGGAAATGTAAGATCGGGGGTCGGGATGGGACGGGAAGGGGGAAGGGTGTCAGATGGTCGTCGATGCAGGCCTTTCTTCGTTCGTGCTCCATTACTCGCGTTGCAGTTGACTTTTTTTTTGTGTGACTCCTTTTTTCCCTTTTTAACCCTATGATAAATTATTCGAGATAGCTCTAGCCGTACTTGGTACGGAATAACGCATTAATATCTGCGATAATAATCGATAAACCAGCGGTCGTGTGTCCCGCCTACGGTATTTTTCGGCTGCTGCGCCCGTCTCGCGAGGACTCCACCGATCGAAAGTGCGAGATGAGAGAGAGAGAGAGAGAGAGAGAGAGAGAGAGAGAGAGAGAGAGAGTGAGAGAAAAAGGGAGAAAGAGACGATGCGATGATATCGGATATGCGGGATATCGTTCATCCCGCGTTCAACGTCTGACAAGGGAGTTGCTCGCAAACCGGACGTGCACACACCCCCCTCTCGTCCTCGATCGACGTCGTCCCGGCGATCACGGGCGATCAGCTTCATTTTACTCTTCGACGGTCTCGCAATATTACCGGTCTGTTCTCGTCACAAAGATATACTTGTCCCTTCCGAGACTCGAGGCAGCGGCTTACTGTTAAGTCGTATCGCTCGTCTGAATCGGGAGAAGGGGAATTTGCCTACAACAATTACTTGCCATTACGTTTCGAAACTTTATAAAAATTTACATTATCTCGGTGCGGACGCACACACGCGCACTTTTCCCTACGTCGCACTAGTCTTATCTACTAAGTAATAAACGCTGTAAGAGGAGCTTTAAATGCGTATGCATGCAACATCATCGCCGTCCGCGATGTTTCTCGTGTATACATCTACGTACCCAGACAGCATGTCCCAAATCGGGACATAAGACGTTTTTAAGACGTCTTATGTTCCGATTTGGTACATTGTGCTCTGGGTATCTTTGCGTACGGAATGTCGGAACGTCTCCTCGACAATTAATCGGAGGGATACCGCTCAAGAGTTGGGGGCTGCCTCGCGTGGAGGTCGCGTAGCGATCCGACACATTTTGTGCTGTATATATTTATTGAACGCACGGCGGAACGACCGTGATTGAACGACGAACGCCGCTGTCTCGAGGTGTCGCGTCCGATTTTTCCTACAAACGAGAGACAGACTTAACGGATAAAGGTTTCGCCGTTTCGGTGCACGGAACTTAAAAGTATAATGGAACGGAGTGAGTAAAGAGTCGCCTCTCCTAGGAACGTTTACATCTCGGGCAATTAAGTAATCGGGGAGCGACGGAGGTTGCTCGAAAGGAAAATAAAAAAGAAAAACTGTCGACAATATTCGTCGTTTTTATAACGATCCTGTCCCGCAGGCATTTGAAAAACGCAACGAGATACACCTCACACTTATCACGCGCGCGACAATTCGTTAATAACAATAACATCCGTAATCTCTTGCCCGCTTCTCGCGTGTCCTATATATGACAATATAATATGCATTACAATATATCATATGTATGTACAATGGCGATGGAAGGGGAGCGCTCTCTTATTCCTCTTCTCATGTAACAAGACGCATACAAAGAGATTCGACGATTTTTCGGGGCACGAGCATTCTCTCGAGAAAGGTGCTCCAATCCGATTTTATTCACGCCACCGATTCGCGTAGCACCGTCCGATACTATCGAGCCTTTGATCACCTCGAGCAATTAACATGCCGCAGTACGCGGTGGTGGATACGCGTCGCATATAATGTCGCAACGGCGATTGTAACGGGTAGCGTAACCAGCGATACCAATCATCCCAGACAACACGCGTGTCTCAAATCGAAAGATATGACGTTTTATTAGAGACGTCATTAAGACGCCTCTAATGTCCATTTCTATCAATGCAGATTAACTTTAATCTCGGTTTAATTTACTGTTTATCTTTGTCTAGTTCTAAGAATTAGAAAAAGATATAAAGTAAGTTAAATCGAGATTAAAGTTAATCTGTATTGGTAAAAATGAACATAAGACATCTTAATGTCCATTTCTACCAATGCGGATTAACTTTAATCTCGGTTCAATTTACTTTTTATCTTTTTCTAATTCCTAAAATTAAAAAAGGGCGAAAAGTAAGTTAAACCGAGATTAAAGTTAATCGGCATTGGTAGAAATGGACATTATCTGCCGATTTGAGACATTATATTCACTGGGACCCGTAATGTGGCATGTGCATGCAGAAAATGGAGCGCTTGATGTGAGTCCATTGTAATAATTTTACTTGTCCCTGCGACCTAAACTTGCAAACTGTAATTAGATAAATAACTATAGATACGAGAGTAGTGTTGAGATGTAATTAAAAAAATCAGCGCTCACGTGACGGCCTCGTATTATATCTTTCCTAATTAAAACGTTATATCGCATAACGCGCTCTCACTTGCTCTTAAGCAGCTGAGAAGTTAGTTACTTTTTAATCCTCGTAACGTTTTATACTCTGAAGTCATTTTTCCCCTTACTTGTGTAATGATAGCAACAACAACAACAGCGATAAGGAGAATTTTAACGGAGCAAAAGAGAGAAACTTGCCAACAAAGAGCTCGGATGAGAAAGCGGTAATCGCACTGACTTTATAGAATATTGACAGCTTTAACTCCTGGATCGTCGTTTCTTCTCTCTAGCTCTTGGAAGGCTTCGTAAAGTCCCGTCGATCTAACATAAGTACTGCCGAATCTAAGCGTATCTCATCGATGTGTTCGAATTATCGTGTTAAAACTGAAGAGCAAGCTATATCGTGGAAAAATGACGCTTGCTGCCGCAAAAGATTATTTGCGGGAACAGGAATCTATGCCGCAAGTATCGCGATATGTATATAATAAATTCGAGCGAGATATATGTAGGTATAGGGCTCGATCGTTTCATTTAACATTTTAATGTTTGCGTTTGTTCAGTTTGTTATATTGAATAGTTATGGAGTAGATATAGAATGTAAACTTGTTACTTGATTATTGTCGACTGTGTATCAACAAATACTCGCGAATCAAAGTGACGTTTCGAAGAGTTTCAAAATACGCCGAGCAAGATTCAATTTTTTTTTTCATAACTTTGAAGAATATCGTTTGCATGATTTTAAGTTACATCGTTATACCGTAACGTTACTTGTCTCTCTTCAACAATCGGTAACTGGCTATTTAAGTTTATGTAATTAAATATCATAGTGGAAACTTCTCTCGACATTCTAAATAAATACCTATGTTTTCTTTCGAGTTATTGTATAACGCAGTTTTCTTTTTTTCCCTCAATCGCTTCTTCGCGTACTTTCTGTTGCACGATGTGACGTTAAATCCAGGCAAAGCGTGACACGGACGAAGGCGTACACCTTCGTGAGAATCGGATTTAATCATGCAAGAAGTACTTTCGCCACTTTCTAGGCCACTTACTGTCACGGCGCTTAAAAGGAACTTGCGCGCCAAGAAGAGACACACGGGTCTCCTCTTCGAAAAGCGTGTAAGTGAAATTCTGTTCTACCGCAAAATTCCGTAGGAACGCGTCGCCAAACGGCAGAAGTGAAGGAATGAGCAGTTTAGCATATGCAGAGAGTCGTGCAAATCCGCGACAAGCCGTACACCGTACGTCGCTAAAGACTATTATCTCGCGTAATAGCGTGATCTTCATTACGAGCAAAATATAGAACGAGTTTTAAACAGACGTCGCTTCGTGTCGCCGTTTTAACGCTTTGGGAAACGAGATTCGTCCGTAGCATTGTGTTTTGTCATACAATGTTTCATATTATCTGTCGGTTATAATAATAAAATTATTCCACAACCGACGTAAGCATAAAATAATTGTTTAATGTACTTGGAATATAATATTGTCACGATTGTTACTGTTGTGAAACGTTCATGTGTCTTACAACTCAAACTCAAGCTGGAAAGATAAGTATCGCGTAAGAAAAAAAAAATTAACAATTAAGGTAAGCGTCCCAAATAGCTGGACATGTAACGTTGCTAATACGATTTTGCTTAATTTTTATAAGCATACGGTTTTTAATAATCTAATTATGTATCCAATTGAAAGACGAAGTATAAATGCCTGTTATTGACGCAAGAAAGACATGAAAAATGTTTAAAATATTTTAATAATAATAAAAAATTTAAAACATAGAAATGTACCAATATTCAGACACTTGTCCGGATATAATTATTCTACATATTTTTCCACTTAAATAATGTTTAGAAAACGTTTTTTATAAAATAAAAATACGAAATAAAATAAAAATCGTTGTAACAAATTAGACGAATTTTCTGAAGAAAATTTCAAGGACATTGTCAAAATTCGCCTAATTGTGTAACAAATTTACCTTTTACTGGATGTCAATTTTTACAATATTTAGAATGTTTTACTATACATAAATATCCTTAAATATTAAAAGATTTCGATAAAATTTTGATATTATAATAAAAAAACTATTTGATATTAATAACGAAAAATTTTCATGGTAAATGTCCGGATATAGGGACATGTACGGCAATCGGTACCTTAATACCTAAATAATTAATTTTGTTAACTAAATCTTTTAAGACACACGATTACCTCACAATTCTTTGATCAACTTAAAAACTTTACCTGTTTACGATGCGTTAAACGAACATTTTTCCCCCCCCCTCACGTACTTCCATTGTCAAAATTATCTTATGCGGATTATTATCTTATCGTTGATTCCCATACAGCACAGATTCTTGCAGAAAGCTTCTAGAAAGGTTTCAAAAACATTTCAACCTTTCACATTTCATGTGCAACATCTCTGAAAGAATTCTGCAATATGTCATATAAAATGTTGCAATAGAAATGTTTTTTAAACCTTTCACATGAAGATAATTTTTCAAAACTTTTAGTTGAGTTATCTCTGAATCGTTTCACATGAAATAATTTTATAAATCTTTCAGTTGAGCTGTTTCTAAAACCTTTCTCACGCAATAAATTTGAAAACGTTCAGTTG